AGGTATGACAATCAACTCCTCTAGTAATTCTTCTTCGCATCTAACCCGTCTCCTTCTAGATGTTAGTATGATTGGAGAGGGTGGTGTAGAGATTCAAGAAGCGTCACGCTTTTTGAGAGGTATTGGAACTGCACTCAAGGTTCTCGGTGCGGTTGGTTTCGTGGTGACGATCATCGTTGGAGCTATTGAAATTATACAAGGTGCTGCACAGTGCGTATTTTATCACACGTCTACCATGATCAAACGTTTTCGTATACTCACCTCGTTCGGATACTTATTTCTCTGATTGTGCAGGAAAGAGAAACTCATCGAGGCTATTCAAAAGAGCCAACCTGCCCGACTTTGCATCGCATTCTATAAGCGTGAAGCATCTAATTTGATTCAGCAACTCGAACTTATGGTGGTTTATTATGAGTCAATGACTGGTCCCGATAAAGATGAGGATGTCGCCGATCGTGTAAGCTCTCTATTCGACTACTTGACTCGTGTCTACGATTTAATTTTATTCGTTTTAGATCGGAAAGAAAGTTGTTAAGAACATCAAGAGGGATAACTCCACTATCAAATTGAATGAATTGGAGAACGAGCTTGAGAATCAGGACAAGTCGGCGGGTAACTTCTATGGTAAAGACGACCTTGGACTTGACCAAGTTGTTGCCAAGGCTAAGGATTCGAAGTAGGCTTATCATTGCTCCTGCCAACCTGTATCTTCACTCAGCTTTAAGCTGATCGACTTTGGACATTTTCAACTTTTGCAATGAAACCCCACCCTGTACTTTTTTATCAACGGAGAGTTCAAATGTGACTTGCTCTCGTCCATATGCCAGTCTACCTAACCTGAGGCTACTTGTCCTCGAGGACTCCGTCGAGTCCGACCTTTGTAGAACAGATTGTTATTGTTCTCAGATCCTATGTTCTCTCAAGTTGTCCGACAGAATCTTCGTCAGAGTCAACTTATTTTCTTTCCACAAGATTGTGTTACGTCCATCGTGCCAATTATTAGTATTCCGATTTCCATCCAGGACGTGATCTCTCAGAGATTCGAACTCACAGACCGAGACGCCGTACGTTGAACACGACGACCCAAATCTACCTTCGACTAGATTATCATCTTTCATCATTTTTTGTCATCTAAATCACTATCCACCTCCTCGGCGACACACATTCGCACTTTCGATCAACATCATTGGGTAAGTTGGCACAGAACTTCATGGAGTCGAGACGAAACAGATGACAATACGAATACTATGCAACAATACCGTGACCCTCCTTCTCTAATCCCAGTGGCTTCGATGGGACGTGAGGATGATCGACCTCGAAATCGTATCACTGGGAGTACTCAATAGTATCGACGAGTATCTTGGTAGTACTTTCAATAGGATCTTCCAAAATGCTCCATATATATCTGCGGTGGTCGTCCAAGATGTTGGACTTGAACTCGTGCCGAAATCATCATAGACAGCAAGTGACTATTCCTAGTCCTAGTCAACCCTCAACCGTTCAACGTTCAACATCTATACCCTCCCGACACTCGAACCTGTTTTAATATAACTTACCTTCCTCTTTGAATGATTCGATACCTCGTTTTGTTGGGTGAGCGTATTCTGGTTACTCTAATTGTTATTTATCGTTTTAAAATCGATTATCATCAGATGAGCCTTCTTCGCTCTTTTATCTTGCTCTTCATTTTCTCCCTCCGAGTCCTTGTGTTCATTTCATCCGGTTGAAGCTGATCGATGATCCGCTGCTGGGAAGTTTATACATTTAATCTCTTGACCCTAACCTGAGGCCTGAACCCTTGACTTACAGGTACATCAATAATACCCCACTGAAACTTTTGACGGACTGGCTCATGTCATATGAAAAAGTTCTGCATAGTTTCCTTTTTTATCTGCAAAAAATAGCGCCTCGCGTTGAGTACAAGTCACGCGTCGCTGTGGGTATGACGTTGGTGTAGCCTGGCACACTCCTAATGTACGTCACACCTCTTACAGGGGCCTTCAAATAGCTCCTTGCTTTATTTCTCCTTCTTCTCCCCCACATCCCCCTGCAAGAAAGCGACGACGACGACAGCGACCATCACACCAACGACCGCAAGTTCGACGAGCTCCCTCGACACACACAACCGACGCTGACAACCTCTAATATATTGATCATGTCCGGAATACCCCCTGTCATCCCCTCCGATACGACCAAGGAGGGTCTTTCGACACCCGCTCACGAGTGGGCCTCGAAGACGACTTCTGCTCTTGATCCAGGCTCAGGTTCCAGCGGCACAGCGGGAACGTTGAACCCAACGACCGAGGAGCTTCAGTCTTCGCATGGTCACACTCACACTACCACTCTTCCTCCCACCTCGAATGAGGGTGCATCTCAACCTCCTATCCTTACTCAGAACTTGACGTCGTCAAGCACTGCTTCTACCCCTGGAGTTAACATTCCTGGAGCTTTTCGTGAAGACAAGGACGCTCAGGGTCATGTCAATATAGCAGGTACAGCTTCTAGTATTTCTCAAACTGTTCAGGCGACCGCTCAGAAAGCAGGAGAAACGGCTGCTCAGTATCTCCCCAAGAGTGTGGTCGATACGGTTGCTCAGTACATGCGTGAGTGCTTTGATCTGTATCTCGTCAAACAACTTGATAACCAGGTTCATTTCAAGCCTCTAACAAGGCAGCAGCAGCTGAAACCGTCAGTGCATCCAGCCACGATGTTCCACACAAGACCTCTCTCCCCTCGACAGAAGTGACAGGTACATCTCCCGGTGAACACGTTAGCGGTGTTGGATCCCTGCCTGGAGTCATCACTGAAACTTCAGTTGGAAAGTTACCCGACGAGAGGAGTGAGATCGATCAGTTTGCTTCCACTAAACCGATCGAAACTAGCGACACGACCAAGAACGAGTCTTCCGGCGGATACACAGCTGCTGTTGGCGGTGCCGCAGCTGGTGCTGCTGCTACCATCGGAGGCGCTTTCGAGGCCGTGAAGAATAAAGGTACGTTTTTAACTCTCAATGTAACGATCTTAGGAAATGACTTGGCTTGTCCCTAGTGTCTGGTACTACGAGTCAAGAACCTACCACCTCCCTCCCTTCGTCGGAATCTACTGGTGCTCAACCGTTTGAACATACTTCTGGCGTCGGCGCACTCCCTGGAAATGTCAGCGAGCGAGGCGTGGCTCGTCTTCCTGATGAGCCCGGAAGGAAGGAGGAGCTCGGGATTGGCGCTGCTACGGATCCAAATGTTGGTACCCATGCACGTACGTTCGACGCCAAAGACACCGATCTCCCTTCACAGGAGAAGGAAGAGTCGCTGAAGACAGGTTTGGGAGGTTCTGGTGATATGAGCAGGGAACCCGTTGGGAGTTCGAAAGCTCATGCTTCGGGCGGCGTAGGTGCCCTGCCAGGGGGGGTTGGAGAAGAAGGAGTTGCTAAGTTACCTGATGAAAGAGCCAAAGAGTCGACTGAGAATGCCCCGAAGAAGGCGTTCTCAACTGGCAGTGCTATAGCTGCTGGTGCCGGAGCAGGAGGAATTGCGACTCTGGCTTCTCAGTCGAAGGACGAGAAGGATGCTAGCAGACAGAGAAGACCGTCTACGGGTGAAGCTGGGACTGAGAAGAGTAAGCTGCCTGGAAAGGAGAAGGACGTTTCGACCCGCCGTGCTAGTGAGGGAGCAGCTACTCGAAGTGCGGGTGGAGCAGGTGTTGCGGGCATCACGAGTGCTGGATTCGCAGGTGTTCAGAAGGAGACTCAGACTGTCGGCAAGGACGAGAGCGATCAGAAGGTCGCGAAACCGAGTAAATCCAACAAGGTGAGTTTGCATTCTTTCTTTCTTTCTTGCCTTTTTCGACTTTCGTGTATAAGGATGAGTATGACGATGATCGAGCGAGTCATCTCGTGTTTAGCAACTCAGGGGTACCCACTCGCGAGAGGTCTGGTGGAGATGTAGAGGGACGATCGAGTGGGCAATTTCAGGGAAATTTACGTCGTGTGACGCTTACACCGAGGACGCATGGCCTTGGTAGTGTCGGTGCGAAATGGGGTGGGGTGACGGTTGGAGGGAATGATTATAAAGATGGCAAGGACGTCGATTTCGGTGGTGATCACGATGACTTGAACCCTGCTGTGAGAGAATACTCACTTTCTCTTTTTCCTTTTGTTTTCTCTCATACAGGTTGCAGTAATACTGACCACGATTTTCATCTCAGGATGCTCCATACGAAAGCAACTACCATCCGGCTGAACTTCACCCTCTCGATAAATCCAAGGAGGCTTCTAAACCTACAGAGGCAGCATCAGAAGGACATGGTGCCGGCGAGAGCGAACAAGCAACTGGCGGAAAGTCGAAAGAAGCTGCTGCATCTCACGAGAAGGCAAAGAAGGTCAGCTTTATGGAGAAGATGAAGGGCGAAGCAAAGATTCTTCTTGGTAAGGTAGAAGGAAAGAAAGGTGAAGCTAAGGTTGAGGAAGGCAGGAAGATTTTGAAAGGTGAATCGGTGACTTCTTCACCTACTTCTGCGACCACGACGACTGGTGGTTCCCCTGGTGCTTGAAGCGTTTTCTCTTGCATCGATTCATCGTCTGTTTGTATTTTTCATTCCTCTTTCCGTTGCTTGTACGATATGATTGGGCATTGAGTTGTATTGCATATCCTGTATGTTACCATCTATGTACAGTATAATTGCTCGAATATTACGATATTGTCTACTACTTCGTATATGCATAGGATTCCTTCTGTCGATTCAGTGGAACTATCAAACCAGGTATGGATTGGGTTCGTACAGATAAGGTTGTTGGCCTTTTGAATTCTTGGGGAATCATTATGAGGTCGATTGCAAACAATTGACCTTTTCCTTCTGAACCATCATATATCATACGCGCAAAAGTAAGATTTGTTTCGTTAGCCTGCCAAGGTAGTATTTCAAGTGCAACGATTTAAATTTTGGTATATGCATCGTAGCAAGATCAAAATATATACAGCATACACCGTGTACTAGGGAGGTTCAGGTGCTACCAGGGTTCGAACCTGGGTTTCGGGAAGACAAGAAATCAGCAGTGAAGAATCAAAATCCCGAGTGATGACCACTACACTATAGCACCGTGTCGACATGAGATCTAGTTGAAACTGGTTCGTGCTTGAATGTTACCACGATACGTTGGAGAGACTTGCGTTTGAGCGTCTACTGGGTGTTTGGTAGCAACGTGATCGAAATTACTTGATCAGGGAAGGTTATTGTTACTGTTGCGGGCGTCTACTGCGTTTTACTTCGCGACCCTTTGGCGACTCTTTTCGAAAATCCAACTTGCTTTCGTTCTGCTTGTAATCCTACTCGCTGAAGCTTCCCGTACTTTACGCGATACAATGAGATTCTATTGTTTTAAGCTTTTAAATTTGAGATCATACGTTTCTCATTTTGACATTTGCTGTTTGATATATATAGAGGTAAGTGAGTGGTTAAATTCTTATGTCGCCTTTCTAATTTCTAACATCCAGCTAGTTCTCACGTTAGATGAAAGAAATGCGTATCAATGCGCCCCAGCCAGACTCTGGTCTGGATTATAATATACAATTTTTAGCATCGCGGTTTTGTACCTGGAGGTTGAGATGGAAAGTTGTGTTCTAAGTATCTCGACGAAGGTGAACGTATCGCACAACCACGGTCACCATCTACTGTATGTTTCCACTACCACTGACAGAAATGAAATATATAATATAGGATGCATTTGGGTTTTGAACCTTCTCAAGATAAGGTTCAAAAGCTGCATTGACAGTCGATAATTACATAAACAATAGGGCTTGCTCACACCCCCTGTCAATGTCGTTACCGACTGTCTCTCTACCCACCACCAGCCCGAACCGAATGCCTCCAGGAGCAAAGATTCGAATAACAGTCCAGCTCGGGTCCTCTCGCCATGTCGTACCAATCCCATCAACCCATACAGTTTCCCAACTAGCAGACGAGATATCACGTCGACTCCTCATCGATGATCCCATTCGTCTCGCCTCTTCTGATAATTCATTACTTTACGAAGAAGATGAAGTAGGCGACGTGCTGGATCCTGGCGATACAGTGATTGTTAGGTTGAATGCGGCTGATGCATCACAGGACATGAAAATGGGAAGTCCATCGCAACCATATATCCCAAAGCCACATATTGCAATGCCGCTTTTCAAACCTGAATCACCTCCAACGAAACGTGTTAAGATCGCAATAATAACCCCTGAATTGGCCAGGAATGCTGGGTACAAGGAAAGCTCAAAAGTTATTGCTTTTGATGGAAGTCATGTCAGCGCTCAATTGACCTTTGTAAGTGTATTCAGCTCGGTAATTTTTACGAGATCGCGAGAGACAATCTTCGATTATCCTATAGGATGTGATAAAACGCGAGGCGTTGCGCTCTTTGGGCTGGCTTGAGGACAACACATCATTCGCTCTTTCTTCAAACACCACTCAACAATCCCCGTCGAACAGGATCATTCCCTATGGCAGCTGTGGATGTACCGTTGGATCTCAATTGCATAGCAGTGAGCGATGATCTGATTTTCTCTGAATCAAAGTGATGCTCATATGCACGTATACTTCGCCAGCTGCCCGCTTTAACCAACTCCATTGCTCACAGCAAATCGACGGAACCTTTTGCGAAGAAAAGAGTTGCAAATATTCGCATACACGCATCGGTGATTCCTTCCTTACTGTGTTCCACACTGACCAAAACTAATCATCTGTTTCCGTCTAGCGTCTGGCATCCTCCAGGGACCACCTTCCAGCATCGAATGCTCTATTTGCACGGAGCTCTTCGGTATGTCATAAATATTGGAATTGAGTTAACTCACAGAACCTGCTCCCTTCAGGCTTCCCCTGTCACAGGTGTATTGAGAAAATTCCAGATGATGGGAACGCACAATCTGTGTATCACTGTCCCCTCGTGCAAAACGCTGGGTATTTCTTTTCAATCGTGTGATGCTAAGCTCTTCTCACAAAGGCCTTATGATTAGGTGCCGGCACATTTTCCATGCCCACTGTTACTTTGGTTCAGGTGGAGATAGATCGTCAGCCTATAGCATGTTAGGTTGTCCAACCGGATGTCCTACTGCTATCTACACTCGTGAAGCAGTTCCATTTGACTGTCAAGGTGTGACTTCATCTCTTTGTCTCTATCGAAGCATCTCTGAATCATTCTTCATTTCATAGAACCCCATCTTCTCATCGTTCATTCTGGCTCTGTGGTAGAGAAAATGAATATACCGATCGCACTGTGCCCCAAGCCAGGCGATGCTCTCACGTTGAGTGACCGTGATAGTATGTATTTTCTATCCACCCATTATTTTCCCAAATTCCGAGTCTGATCTATCTCTTTCTTTTAGTTCAGCGACTCATTGAAGAGCGATTACCTGAGCTTGGAACCGGGTTGGTGATGAGAATGGTACGCTTCTTTCATACCATTCGTAGTTCATCGAGATTTAAAGCTAAACTCGGTTCTTTCTACAGTTTGATAGAATGAATACCGGGTAAGATTGTTTCATTCAAAGTTGTTTGTAAAATTTGAATTATTCCTTACATTTCATCCTTGCAGTGAAATCACGTTTCGCCATTCCACAGTAATCTCGATCTGCTGCAATTCTTCTCATCCTCATGCAGATGCTATCATCCGACTCCCTCTCTTCCCGGACTTAGCTCCTCCGACCAACTCGTCGGTGTTACCCATCGATTTCCACACCGCCACTGCTCCCATTCTTAATTCTGACCCGAATGCCACACTTGAAGAACTCGGGCTTGATTCTCATCTTCCGGATGGTGGTGAAGTTGTATTGTACGCTGTAAAACGAACACATGGCCTCAAAAAGGAGGACCTGGGGAAGAGCGTTGGAAAGTCTGCAATCTATCAAGAACATGATGATTGGGTTCGTCGCGATGGTTTGATCGCGTATGATGGCCTACTGAACCTTTGTGATTTCATAGCATCCAGCTATCAGACAAAGCACGAGAGGAATGTCTGCGTTTTTATCGACGTTGATGGTTTTTGTGAAGTATCTCGCGTAAGTGAACTGTCCATTAGTCAATGATGTGCACTGACGAGGGATTTCCCTCCAGTTTATACGACGATAACACCGAGACCAAGAAGAACTTACAAAATAGGATATTCGCCTACATGCTTGGGCTAACAAGGTTTCCTCCAGGTAGGCCCGCTTCCAATAAGTGAAACTCGAAACTGACGATATCGCATATATAGCCATTCGCGCATTGTTCACCCTGGTACAGAACGAGAAGCTCATATCTGAAGGTGCAAGAGCACTCAGCGAGACCATGTTCCATCTCATGTTAGACATTGCGGACCCGCTCGTCAACAAGCATGACAAAAGTCGTACTTTCGAGGCTTCGAGGCTTCTTTTGGAACCATCATTGAACATGCCAAAGGTCCTTTCGTTCTATCTGGTCTGGATTCCCATGTTTCTAACAGCAGACCATTCAAGAATGTTTCTCTCACTTGGTGAGCTTCACATTTTGACTGCTCGCCGCGTCAGAAATGGTTTTGACATGTATCCTAGTGAACTAACGTCACAGCCACTATTCAACCCGGTCACTTATGGGGACAAAGTCGTGGATCGTTCTGCCGCCATAATTAGACAAGAGCAAGGACTCTTGTATGACCCATTGATTCCGATCCCAGACATGACATCTCCACCCGCAGAGCTTGTCTCACTCATCCGACAATTAGGGTCAGGAATGACTGCGATCGATGTATTCTGTTCAGAATCCTACAACATCCCTTCACTATTGGTTTATAAACTCACGCCAGGCAACTTAGCTATAGCTATCAATCATGCGAATGTCGAGTTACAGATTCATGCTCCGTTGAGTTTGAAACAAAGGGGGGTGGTCACGCCCGCATTAACTTTGGACTAAGATGGATTTAATGCAGTTTTTGTGAGTAGAGGCGGGACGGGGGTGTGCGGAAGCATAGATGATATGTTCTTGAGACCTTGTAATGGCGGAGAGATTGCGGCAGATGTTAACGTGGTAAGTTTTTTCTCTGAAATTCCTCTATCTCTATTAGCTTTATTTAAATTATCTGTAGGTTGCAGCCAGACTACAGCCCATCATAGAACACAGAAAAGCCATGGGCGAATGGGATATTGATGCATTTGGAGGTGTTCGTGCTGATAAAGTCGATACACGAGAGGTCGAAGAAGCGATAGGTATGTACTTTTATTCACTGATGTAATGTAGTACGAAGTTAATCTCTGTGCGTTTCCACTTCTAACTAGTAATTGCACTTGATCTGTCCCGGTCCATGGAAGAAAACTTCAATGAAGAAGATGAAGAAGATGAAGATGACGAAGACCCGGATGAGAAGGCGAAGAAATCCCTCCTTGATAGGTTTGCAGAGAGAAATCAAAGTACGCAAGGAGTTCTTCCAGATAGTAAGCATATTTTTTCCATTGTACGTTACGCATTGAGTCTAACCTGTGCTGAAATCAGTCAAGGATGCCTTCAAAACATTACACTGCCTTCCGAGTATCGCTATGTTTATACATCATGGTCGTTCAGATAACTTCGATTGGTGGTGTGGTAATATCATGGGCGATCTAGCCAGGATACAAGCTGCCACGAAGTTACTGGACGAGTTGGTGGTGATCTTGTGTCGTTTACACTGGAATGATTTGCAGCTACACCGATTCCCTGATAATCGCATGTGAGAGTTATACCATTAACTGATGATCGATGATCATGAATAACCTGCCTCATTATTGTATAGCCTTTGCCATTACGAGAACTTGGTTGCTACCATTCTCGACCCAAGCACAAAACTCAGAGTGATCCAGCACCTGATGCAATTGCTTGCTGATCACCACCATGATTGGACCAGGGCCGTGGCACCTCCAATGTTTGCAAGACTTGTCGACATTCCAATGGTACGCTTCTTTATTCACTCTAAAAGTAAACATATCTAAATCTCTACATATATACAGAGATTCAAGGATCCATTCACCGGAGAAATTATGGCAGACCCTGTGAAAGCTTCTGATGGTTGGTGAAATCGTTCATCGTATGATTTTATATCATGTTGACGAAACCTTAGGATACACATATGAGCGTTCTAGCATCGAAGCATGGCGCGAAGTACACCAATGGTCGCCAGTAGATCCGAGTTTATCGCTGGATCCATTCTCACCATTGGTAGCAAGAAATCAGCTAAAGTATGAAATCCTTCAGTTTCTTAGTGGCCAATCACGTACATCTTTTCAAGTTCATCCTCGCGATGCGCCATATATCGTGTCTGTTGAATATGAAAAGGAGTACTTGGTTTTTCCTGGCCATTGCGATTCATGGGTCCTCTCGGTCATGGTAGATCACTGGCGACTCAACAGTGAACGGAAGCCCTCCACAATCCGATTTTGGCATGGTAAATATTTTCTAATTGTATAATTGTCCATATACTCAGCATAGCACTATACAGGTCTGAAGAATGCCGGTGACGGTAAATCTCGAGGGAGTGCCCTTGATGCTTCCACTATGATATCACCCCTCGAACGCACATTAACATCAATAGGTCATCTCGAAATGCCTACAGTACGACTTTCCAGACGAGGTGAGAGTACTCTTGAATACAGCCCATTACTGCTGTTGACGTATTTCTCCCGCCAGCATATCATTATATCCCGCGTGGTTCGGAACGTGCAAAGGCTGATTCGAAGTATCTAAGCAGGTAAGTTATCCTTCTGTTTTTTTTTGAACCTGCTCTCTGATAGTGAACCATATCAGATTGGATATAATGAAACAAGCATTCGAAGCGTAAATAATTCTTGTTTGATTTCACGTAATTTCACTGAGGCTATTTCTTTCCCTACGGGTTTGTCAATAAATCAGAAGCGTTCGATTATCCTGTCGCACTTGGTGAGTCATGACCTTGACCACACCAGAGGATTAGTCTCTGATATTAGAGTTGGCCACTAGGATTGGTAACGTTTGGAAAAGAAGTCAAGGAAGTGCAGGTATGCTTTCGCTAGTTTTCTCGCCGGAATGCGCGTATGATGAACATTGCTACAGAAATTGACCTTGCTCAAAGAGGCCTTTCGGGATTCAGTTCGAAGTGTCTCGGTGTGTCTTCTCCATCCATCACGAAAATCATGCATTGACTATTCACCAAAAGCCGGATGGCGATACACCTCTCTTTGATAGTTTAGCTGTTGCCCACTCTATGCTGGAATCATTCAAACGAGAGGTTTGTACATGTTCAACCCGTTAACTTGTCGAGTCTTGTTCAATATAACAACGAAACTCCTCTTTACAGAATCCTTCCGCCACTCTTCGAGTTATCTGCTTAACTGATGGTTGGTGCCACTTATATCTTTTTAAAGTGGATGATGATTTACTTGTGAATTGTCTTTGCTATAGGTGATGATGTAGGATCGCATTGCCAGGCATGGGAAGTCACTGCCAAGCTCCAACGATCCAAGGTCATTGTAGATTCTTTAATCGTTCAAAACGACGGAGGATCAAACCTTCTTCATGCTATCTCGGTGGCTACCGGCGGATATTCTTTCAAGATAAATGATGTATGTGGTATTCTGCGGTTATGATGCATGCGGCAGGTGTGACTAGCAAAACTGAAACTTGTTTTTCAAGCTTGAAAACGCACTAAACATAGTAGAATTGGAGACAGTCCTTCGTTCTCGAGATAGAGTTCATCGGGTATCGTTGAGTTCCTTTCTCCTTCACTGGCAATATCTGACATGCCATGTTACACAAATCCTAGCCTCCAAAAGAACTCATCCGAAATCGATTCGCTTTAGTTGGATTCCAATCTCCGGCGTCCTTCCCGGTATGTTCAATCATTCGTCTGCTCTTCTTTCACTAATGAATGTCACTGTTCTGCCAGTACGATGTTGTTACCTCAGAAGAATGCCCTCTTCGCAAACCCCACGCTGTGAGCAGCTTTTCTTCTCGTCGTGATACTGTGATGCTGATAATACGATATGCGGTCTTTTCGTTACTCGTATACCTAGAGAATACATGAACCTCTACATCCTGCTCATGCTGTCGTAGCAGGCATAGCTACAATCACGTTAAGTTCTGATAGACAAAGAAGACTAATGCAAGAAGTCCGGGATGTCATTAATTCTCCTCATCGTAAGCCTCATCTCGCAACTTTCTGGTTTTTTTTAAATCATAATTTTGGCATCATAGCTGCATTCGACGTCTATGTTGGAGATGATCTGGCATTCTGGAAGGTTAGTAGAATTGAATCGGACTCATTGTGAAACTCTTTCGATCTAAAACGCATTACCTGTTTAGATTGTCATCGAAGCCCCTTCAGACGTATGTCCATCATCTACACAGTACTTTCCGTCTTTCACCCATCATAAATACTAACATGCCCTTTGTCCCTCGTATATTAGTCACCTTATGCCGGAGGAACATTCTTAGCCTACGTTGACTTCAGCGAAGAGTATCCCAAGGTTGCACCTGAAGTGTACAGTCTATTCTTTGTTCTTATTCTATCATGATATTGACTGGCCTCATTGATCTCCGCATTTATCTAGTCGATTCATCACTCCCATTCTACATCCCAATATTAATAGACACGGCAAAGTCTGCCACGCAGCGTTGGATCGAAGTTGGCTGATGGATATGACTATGAGGTAGGTTTTCTATGAACGTCCTGTACTCGTGGTGACAATGCTAATACAATTTGCAGCGTGATTCTGAGTATCTTATACGGTCTACTATTGACACCAGACATTGATAATCCGGTATGAAGTCGTCCTTTGTTCTGGTGTTGAATTTAACATCTCATTGGTTTCCAGCTCGATCTCCACGCGACGATGGAGTACAATGATGACACTGGTTTGTTTTTCCCATTTTGTTGTACATTTATGACTTTATCTGATCCTGTGTGTCATCGCAGGTCAACATGCATTGAAGGTTCATGAAATGGTAAGATTACCACGACGCAAACATTTTTACCCAATGTAACTTGATATCACGTCAGGTTTCAAAATTCGCAATGAAGTCTCGATCGGAATGGAGGATGGAGTTGGAGAGTTGAATCACATTTGTCAATTTTTTTCATTATTTTGCAGAATTAATGCTTATGCTTGCCGGGTTGTGCCTTTGTAAGTTTGCATAGTCTTGTATTTCTACCTCGTTTCTTGCGTTGAATATGAATGAAGTACCTTGTCACTTAAGATATCGTCGGGATGGGGCACAGGTCACGTCATGACTTCATTCGAGTTGAATGGCGCTGGTAGCTACCTCTTCTCTGTCTATAGACAGAGAAGATGGAATGATTGTTGAGATCTGAGAAGAGTGGTCTTTCTGTAAAGAAGAATTTGGATCCCTCAAGCTAGCGAAGGTCCAAGGAATCCTGCTTCTAGGAGTTCTCATGAAACATACATCATGAATACTCTGAATAATATCTAGTTAGGCAGAAGGCAAACGCTGAAATGATTAAGGTGCTACCAGGGTTCGAACCTGGGTTTCGGGAAATCACTGATGACTAACGAGATACAATAATCAATCAAATCAAAATCCCGAGTGATGACCACTACACTATAGCACCGTGTTGACACGATATCTTGAGGTGCATGCTTGAGCGTCTGTTTGGTGTTTGGTAGCAACGTGATCATAAACACTTGATTCGGAAAAGTTATCTTCTTCCGGTCGTGGGCGTCTACTGTATTCAATACTCTTTTCGAAAATCTAACTTGGTTTCGTTCTGATTTGTCTTCTTGGACTTGGCGCAACATAATTTTAATGAGATTCTATACTTTGAGGCTTTTAAATCTTACCTTCTCCAGTTTCACATCTCACGTCTCTGTTTTCAATTTGACAGAGGTAAGTTTTCAATCTCTTCGCCACCATCATTATGTTTCTAATTTCTAACATCCAGCTAAGTAGAAGATCCTTAATGTTCTTCTCTCGTAAGATGAAGGAAATGCAGATTGATGTCATGTGGAGAGTTGATTGAACCTACATATGCCCAATTCGCAATCTGGCCCCAGGAAATGCAATCCAAGTTACGAAGAATGAAGGATGCGTTTTTGCCCGCCCCCGTTCCGAATCATGCATGAAGTCGACATGGATCTGAAGCATTTCAACTCCCAGGAGATGAAGGAATACTATATAGCTGTTAAGATTAGTATAATCCAAGTCTCTCATGAATACTGCCGTCGTAAGCAAGGTGAGTTCATTCTTTCGCGCTACTCATCTCCCAAGGCGTAGCTCCATTAGTATCAGTAGTGGATCGACGCGATTCGCCATGAAGTTGGATCTATACTCACATACTTCCTCGCAACTCTCTATACTTTCATTAGTATTGTATGTACAGGTTTAGGGAGTGGCAGACGACTGCAGGATTTATGCGAAGCTTCTCTCCGAGATGGTTGGGTATATCATGAGCTTCTGGTGAGTCGAATAGACTCCTAAACGGTTCGTCTGCCTCGTTAACTTTAGATTGCCAACACCCTCCTCGAAAACCGTGCTCTGTGAGTAGCTTCGTGGCGGCTGTATCAATATGTCACGATCAAATTTTTTCCTCTTGTCGTCCGTTTGACCTAGGGAATACACAAGTCTCTACGTTCTTCTCTTTTCGTCACCGCTGGTAGTTCTCCGTTGAAATACTAGATAAAGGTTTCACGTGTTTCTCGGTGAACGTTACTTGCGAGGATATAAAAGTAAGTTCATGCAGTTGGTATCTTAAGACCGACGGCGAAATTTAATAATTGTATTATGTGTGGCGTAGGTACTCATGGGATTTCAGGATGCAAGGAGCAGGACTTGGAGTATTCAATTTCGCTTCACGGCTGCACTGAGGGTTAGGTATGCCGAAGGTTAAAACATTACCGACGCGGAGAACGCGACATCTAATTGTGATTGATCCTGACATTCTAAACGTAGGTAATTCATCGTTGTTAAATGGACATAATGGTCGCAAACGAGAATAAGAGCACAGGTCCAGGGTCAATCCTGCAGCGATATAAGACGGGTCGACATTTATTCAGGTTTGACGCTCGTCTTCCTTCTACTCCCTCATTCAACGCCACAGTTGGTTCAGATTCTCAAACAAGACTTCATACTGATCGCGATTCCACCATTATCATCGTATATCTCATTGACAGTTTCATCACGTTCTGAATTTTGCCCTCTTAGCTTCTAGTGACTGCGGTTCCAACCTCGACCTCGATGACGCTTGTCACTCAAATTCTCAGCGAGAGTTCTGTTAGGTACGTTCTTCTAACATTCGTTTCGATGTTGATTGGATAACTTATACAAGGATTTGTGTTGTTCATATGGGAATACTAGTACGCCACCGTCTCACGATGATGAATCTAATTCAGTCGACAGTGAATGTGAATCAGACATTCCTTTCACTGAATCCGATGATGATGATACATCCTCAACGTAAGTCTCCCCTCAAAAGACGGTCGTCTTAAAGCTTAACTTCATATCAACATGACAATGACATCAGAACTTATGAACTATCCCGTAGAAGTGAACTAGAGGATGCCGAACGTGAAACACGTACAATTGGAAGACATCAATTAACATACACCCAAGCAAGTTGTATTCTCGAGTTTCTACGTCCATCATACCAAGAGGTGGATCCAAGTCCGGAGGAATGGGAAGGATGGATAGTGGCGAACGGAGTTGGGTATGAACCTGATGTTATAAGGGTCAACAAGGAGGAAGCGGCTCAATGGTATGAGGCTATGAAAAGGCAAGGAAAGTGGGATGAGAAACCGAAGACGTTTTATGAATTTGTGGAAGTTGAGATCAGGACGGGGTTCGCTAGAAGTGCAGAATCGCGCTTTGGGTAAGTTACTAGGCATTGTTTGATATCAGAGTCGATTAAAACTAATCTTGTTGTTAAAGTACTCGTGCTTGGGTAGCTCGTGATGGTGGAGGAAAGGCAACTCGAGCATCTCGACACATGAATCGAAGAGAACTTGAAGAAGAGAAGGAGGAGATAGAGATTGGTAGAACCTGAATGCGAAGAATGACATGAAGGCCGTGCGGGGAACATAAACTTTTGAAGTTGAGTCTGTTAGTGGGAATTGTTAACCATCCAAGGTACGAAGTTGGAGAATAGAGGATTTTGGTGTACCTTGTAAGATGGGAAAGAGGGTCGTGAACGCTTAATGAAACAGCATTTGACGATGCGACGTCTGAATCTTCAAATTCTTCATTCACCTGTATATGATTCATTCATCTTGCTTGATCTTGGAAGAATGCATGCAATATGTGTCTTGTATACCAGAAACAGGCATGTCGGATATTAAACGAATGGACAGCGGCAAAAACCTTCTCTCGCATAGCACAACCCTTCCCGGACCCCTACGTATACAATTTTCGCCGAAATAAACAATAGTGAGTCCCTCATGAGATCATGTTAGTTCATTTTCAGTCACTGATTCATGTCACGACTCACAGCGAATCTTAGCTAGTCGACATACAGGATGCACCAGCTCTTTACTATCAGAGAGCTTGTCGACGAGATACTCCAGCCATTTCGAAAGGACTTGACCAGTCTTTCACGGATCGCCAGGACATGCAAAGCATTTGAAGATCCATCGTTGGACATGCTCTGGTATTCTCAATATGCAATAACTCCACTAATCCTGGTAATGGCAAACTTCAAGCTGTGTAAGAGATATGGAGATGAGATATGGCGAGACACTACATCGGAGGAAGGAGAGAGTCAACTTAGACCTATGAAAAGTCTTTATACACCTGTGAGTTTCTAGTTCTCATTTTGATTGCTGAAATTGAAATCAAAGCTACCGTGTTCAGCGTTGTCTTGGTCCTCCTTCCAAGGCTGACCTCGTCAGATTGCATAGATATGCCAGCAGGATTCAAATCTTCAGTGCTAGACCTCGAAAATCATCATCATCGTTGAACATCATCGAGGTTGACGCGGATATTCTTCATCTATTCACTCATTATCTTGGCGACAATCCTTTCCCTCATCTTCATAAAATAATTTGGCCTATTGACGGCATATCTGCATCTCGCTATTCTTCAATTCAACATTTATTCAGTTCTCAACTTGTTTCGGTCACTTTGACCTTTCCTGAGCATTATCTATGGAAAGACCCTCGTAACACCTTAGAGGTGACTGCTGAGATGTTTGATGTTTTGGCGCGACGCTCCGATGCAACTCTTGAAACACTTCACATTCAAACAATTGAAGCACTACCTCATGCAGCTTTTAGTGCCATTCAAAGAATGACATACCTTCGTGTCGTTGAACTTCCCACCCATCATGATTATACATTTTGGTTTTCACTGGCTTTACTCCCAAATCTACGAATCATCAAATGCCAGGTTGTCCTTGATCCACTTATCCTACCGTCGTCATTGGATGACATACCCTCTATCAATAAACCATTCCCTTCCCTGACTACCCTCACGATACGAGGTGGTCTTGTAGAATGCACATGGCTTCTCTCGTTCTACAAACTACAAACAGTATCATCTCTCAGCATGTCACTTCAAGAACCTATGGATATAAGCCTTACCATATCAGAAACACGACTGGACTTCTTCAGAACCAATGCTACATCTCTATCCAACATCTTTACAGTGATAACCCAACAACTTTCGGAGAATTTGAAGAGTTTGGATTTACAATTTCGGAGAGGATTATTATGTGGTGATGATGAATCAAAATTCTTGGATCCTCCTACTATCACTCATCAAATCATCGAAAATCTCACTTCGAGTTTTCCGAACATCACACGATTCACTCTCGATCATGGATGGAAATTCAACTTCGATGATGCGGATGCAAGTCTTCACTTGTTGGGAAGATCTTGGCCACAGTTGACACGATTGCATCTCTCTCCCAGTGGAGTACTCGCACAATGGATTAATTCGAAACCAACACTTGCTTCTTTGGAGTTCTTTATGCAACATTGTCATCAACTTGAAGATCTCGCAGTTTATTGCAATTTTTCAACACCGTCATTTAAGGCCAATTTCAATTACGAGTCTCAACCTTCACCTTATAGTGTGGAATCACGGTTGTTTCGTTTGGATGTTGGAGGATCACCTAATGTTGACCCGAGAGGAGTTGCTAGTACTTTGTGGTATTTGTTTCCTATTCTTGAAGAACTTGAGTATGATGAATCATTCTATTCAGAAATTTGGGATATAACTTATGATTTCATGTTTAGATAGAGTAGGAGGAGTAAGACTAGTTCAAGAGTCTTTTTAGTTGAGAAATTACACCCAATTTATTTGAGTACATTTTGTAGATATGATATCTTGAATTGTAGTTTTGCGATGAATAGTAAGCCTGATCAAGTGCGGTAGAAAGTTGAAGTGCCAGCATCAGTAATCTCCAATACAGTTTGCCTCTTGCTATTGACATTATAACACTACTATCCTTACTATATCTTCTTTCTAAGTCTCTAAACTTCCACTGAGATATAAAGACCTTCCCTAAATGCTTTCTTCATATGTATTTTTTTACTCATTAACAAGTTTTCTAGATTTATTGAACACTGAGTTTGACCACCACCTTTAGGATATATCCCTCCTCCCAATCCCAAACAGCTT